GGCAACATCTGCTTGATTCTACTTCCCATGGCCTTCTCCACCAGACGAATGGAGCGAATCAGCTCAGCCAGTTCAGAGGGTTCCAGTGATGCCCCATGATCACTGCCTTTCCAAGTTTTATCCAGCGTTACATGTCGCTCAATCACCTTAGCTCCCAGAGCTGCCGCTGCCACTGAGATTGCGATTCCAGTCTCATGACCCGAATATCCAATGGGAATATCTGGAAACTCCTTCTGATATTCCTGCAGTCAAAAAGGTGATAGTGTATGTGGTTTAAAAACAACTTATGAAAGCACTTCCAGCTGTAGCTCAGTTTCTTTATCATTCCAATGGAGGACTGCCGAATATTGATATATTGATACACTGAATAATCATGCACAATAAGCTATTTACCGTGATCACTCTGAGGTTGACATCTTCAGGGTCCAGAGGGTATGTGCTGGTGCACTGCAAGATGGTGAAGTTTTGATTGTGCTGCTTCACTGTCTTGTACACCTGACGGATTGTCTCCATTGACTGCATCCCAGTGGACACAACCATGGGACGGCCTGATAAGAGAAAAAAGAGGGATCATACCTAATCAGCCGGTCCTTATTTCAGCGTGCGCGGGCTGGCCCTCCTTTAATCATACCGGCCCCAACACTTAATGGCAGATTAAGCAGAACCACTCCGCGGGGGCGTGGTACCGCACAGAGACAGATTTGACAGTTCCAGAGGCTATGCGTCAGAAGCATTAACTCTCCAGCTGAAGCACTTACCTGTGACAGTAAATAAGTAAAGGAGCTCAATAAGTAATACAATATCAACTACCTAAATCATACATGCAGTATATATAGCCCTTCCTTTTCATGCACATCCTTGTGACGGTTGGCATATGGTGTAATTTTCTATTTCTTCAAACTGCAAAATCCTATTTCTAGAAAACTATAAAATCCTTACAACAAACTAAATTGTAATAAAACTAAAATGCTTTCTTTAAACCAAACTACAATGATCCTCTGATATTTGGCGAATTTATGTTAGAATATTTTACAAAAATATGTTGCAGTGCATGATGAGGTTTTGCATCTAAAGGCTAACGTTTCCCATCTTACGTGCATTATTGCCAGGTTGGGCTGTTTTCCAATCTGGCAGTTTAGGATGGCCATTTATGGGTAAAAAAGTTTTTCTTAAGATTTATGGCCTAATAGATCAATAGACTCAAATTGGGCCAGATTTCATATATCCAGGCGGTTTAAGAACATTTTTTGGGCTGGAAAACGTGAGTTAGCCATAAGTGGACCGGTAGATGGAAAAAGGCCAGGGCCGAAAATCGTTCCCAGTCTGAGCCTGCCCACAACCATCAGACAGCTGAATTGTTGAAAAAAACTCTAAATCATGTCTCTCTAAATCTCTAAACTCTAAATCATGACTGTGCCTTACACTGATAACACCAAACCAAAACACTGCACATTTGCTGTCTCTGTTTACAAAATGACAATAAAAGTTGTCTAAGTTCATGCTCTATGCAATGGGATGCACAGCTCCCATAGATTTTAGTCCTTCTTTCTTGCATAAATTCACAAAATGTTCCTGAAAGGTTTTTAAGAATCAGGGCGGCTGTTTGTCCATTTAAAGTCCAAGGATTTGGATGACCTATAGGAATTCACTGGAATTCATCAGCGTGCAGTTGTTATTACCCTTAAGGCCCACGGACTTTGAGTCTGAGATAAACTGCACTACACCTTCATTCCAGCAGGTGGCAGCAAATGTATACATTAAAAGTTAAATGTATACATTTTACTTTTTGTATAAACCTCTATCTGGCATATACCTGCATGATTTATTTACAGTAACTATTGAGAGTGATATTGTTATTTTTTGTTTATCATAATAATTTGATAAACCTTATAGCTGTGGCAAAAATGGTTGACTGTTGTCAAAATGTAATTTATTAAAGTCAGTCAACTTGCACAAGGAATGAATACCTTGATCTTAATTAATCATAAGCAAATATGTATATGGATTTAGAGGATGTAGACAGTGTTGACCATGTAAGGACGTCAAATCAACAGCATAAAATCATGAATAAAACAGACCAGCCAAGAATTTTTCTATTTGTTTAACTTCTATATTTATATGGTTAAATCTTTCTCAGGGTAGCTTAACTTTCGCTGGCAATTATGTTTTTCCCATAAAACCACAAAATCTATTTTCACTGTGTGCTTGTATGCTCATGGCTTTTTTGTCATCCATTGTTTCTCACTCCCAAATAAAACCCTTCAGCCTAATCAAGGCATTGTGCACCTTTCCCTTGTTTTACATTGGTCACTGCAGGACATTTAAACAAAATGTAAGAAAAAACTACCCCAGTACTCTTAACATATACGTATACTCAGATTGGTTGGAATAAATACACATTAACTGCATAGTGTGGTCATATTTCTCTGGATAAAATGTGATTAATATAATGAGCAAATGAGAACATTTATTAAACATCTTGTGTTGATTTGCTACAAATTCAAAAACCTTGTTTTTTCTATGTCATAACATCCTTTCATGGTTTGAACGTAATTTTATCGAAAAGCAACCTCTGTAGTCACCATAATCTCAACCTTTGCTTATTTAGTAATTCAATCTCACCTTTCTTGGCTGTCTTCTCAAGATATGGAAAGTTATCAGCATCTGCAGATGCTACTTTGATAAAAGGGACATTAATTTCATGGAGAAACTCCACAGCCATCTGAAACGTACAGATACAGGTTAAAGCTCTGATCAGATAAATCATGAGCTTTTAATCGAAAGTCTGTTACCTCGTCCATCCCTGAGGCAGTGAAGAAGATCCCCACTTCTGTTGCATATTTCTGCAGCTCCCTGTACTGCTCATGGCTGAACTCTAGGTGGCGCTTATGCTCACCATAAGTTTTCCCCCAGGAGTTCTTGGAGGTGTATGGACGCTCCAAGGCCTGCTTGTTAAACCTCACCTCCAACTCACTTTTCTGGAATTTGGCACAATCAGCACCACAGTCCTATAAAAGAGGAGGTAAAACATATAAAATATATGTCGGATTTGAGATTAAGATCAACACATGCATTAACATGTTAATATGTTGTTGTAGGCCTACTTGGAATAAATCTATAACTTTGCAGTTTTTCAAAATATTATGATACTTCAGCAAACAAGATGTTAAAGAAGCAGGTACACAAAATGATGAAAGAAACATCATTTGGAGCAAAATGAAAGAAAAGTGTAGCATAAAGCAATTTAATTTACAGTAGGACCTGTTCATTTCAAACAAACCATTTAAAAAGAAAAAAAGACTGGCATAGACTTAAAATTTTATCCTGTTATTTAGGATGAAAAGTGATTAAAAAATTAAAAATCTCAGGTACTTATTAGAGGTGTGCATTGGCACTGCCCTCACGATTCGATTCGATTACGATTCACCAGGTAACGATTCGATTCAATTCGATTCTACGATGCATTGCGATGCATCAAAATCACATTGACTTTGTAAAATCCGAAATGTGCCCAGATATCCGCTTTCCAAGCTTTTGGTGCGTTTTTAATTAGGCCTACCCGTCTATCGCGGTCATCTCCCTCCGCCTTAACCATCTTGATTGTTGTTGGTATGCCTCCAGAAGTAATTGAAACTTCACAACTTGTCCATTTGAGGCCAGAAAATAGGCAGTGACATAATCGATTATGGCACGTTGCCGCATCGATGCTGAATTGTGCATGCCCCGCATTGCAATGCATCGCTGAATCGATTATTGCTGACACCCCTAGTACTTATAAAGCGCCTTTTCAAGTCAGGAGACTTGACCAAAGCACTTTACACTGCATTCAGTCATTCATACATGATGGTGACAAGGAACATTGTTGCCAGATTTGCTCTGGGGCTCACTGACTGAAGCGAGGTTACTGCACACAGGCATTACTGGGCCCTCTCATCACCATCAGTCAGCAATGCATGTGAAGTGTCTTGCCCAAGGACACAAAAACATTTAAAGCTGGAGTGGGGGCTTTAACCAACATCCCCAAACTCCTGCAAACAAAATTATATGACCAAAGTTCTTTTTGGGTTTTACACACAGAAAACTTCACAACAATGAATTCTGCTAAATTCGCCTAAATGTAAATAAACAATTTGGCTAAATTACTACAACACATTACAGAGTCCAAATAGAGTGTTGAAGGAATTCCCAGTCATTGCATCAAATGCAAGGATTCAGTTTCAATTCAGTTTATTTCTATAGCGCCAGTTCACAACACGTCATCTTTACAGTTCACCAGATCATGCTGTCAAATTGATTCAAAGTTTTCTATTTAAGGAAAACCAGTTGATTGCATTGACTCATTGACTCGACATAGCATTTATTATTACTCTACGGGTAAAAAAAAGCAAATAATGGCAAATAATTGGTTCTGAACAAGATAAAATATAGGTATAAATATATTGCTAACTAATGTATATTGCCTTATGAGTTCATTTCTTATTTTAAGTGTCCCACTTTTACAATATAATTTTAATTTGAGAGATGTTGTCAAGTGAAATTATCTTGCTGGATGGACAGATCATTTAGGCTTAGAGACTTAGATAGACTTAGACAGATTTTATTTGGTCATTTTGGACACACAAGTGTATACAAAAAGAAATGTCATTAAGTACAGCTCGCTAGACTTGATGATGGTAAGCAGCTTTGATAAAGGTAAGCAGCAGTGATAAAAACTATTTCAGTTGTTTTCAGTGTCTTTCCCCTCAGATTTTGTGTTGTTTTTTTTCTTCTTTTAGACCCCACTTACCGTGTTAACAATTAAACTATTTCACTGTCAATTTTTCGGGATTTGGAGAAATCATAATGGAGGATATTCTTTTTCTGGGTGGATCATCAAAATAAGTGGTTCTCCTAATTGTCATCATTCTGGTGATGTGTTTAAACAGGATGCGCACAGCAACTTTTAAACAGTGCATGTGCATTTTTTTTAATGGAGAGGGCGGATTTTCTCCACTCTCCCTCCACAATATCTTTAATTATTGCATTTTTCACATGCTTACACTGCAAATACGATCTAGAAATAAGTAAAAATTTCTTAAATTAGGCGTATTTACCCTTAATTTGATTTGGTAAATAAGATGATTTTCCAATGAAATTAGTATTTTTTTGTCTTAAAATAAGATAACTAGATAATATGAACGTAAAATAAGACAACGCAATAGTTTTTTCCTTTTTTTAATGTAAATTGTCTTGTTCCATTAGCACAGTGTCTCACTTTGAGTAGGCTAATAATTCAAGTTCTTGAAACTTTAAACTTTTCAGTGCTCAAATATTCTGACTATTTAGCCCTACTGAAAGTATTAAGGATATCTTTAAATGATAGTTTGTTAAATACTAATGTTTTTTGTTTTTTTTTAGATAAGCTTAATGTACAGTAATTGTGAGCCTAAATTAAGTGTTTGGCATTTTCAGCATTTAGTTTAATGTATTCAGCTCAAAGAATCAGTTTGTGATTTTCAACGATTTTAAGAGAAATTATATAAATATTTGGTCTATAGTTTTTATTCGTACATAGGCTACTAAGGCTCTAAATGACTTTTTAGACTTTACCTGACCTGCGGCAAAATGGGGTTCTTATAATCTCTTATATATAAATCTGCTAACCTTAATCCTGTCCAGACTGATTTGAAGGGCTCCTGAGTTTTTTTTTTTCTCTTCATTCTGTATAGTTATGGTTTTATTCAATTATCTGAGCTTTGCAGACAGCAAAGCTCTAAAAACCTCAGAAAGAAATCAAAATGATCATTATCTGTATCCATGTAAAAAAAAAAAAATCACATTTGAGATTTGAAGCTATATACAGTATTCATATTATTTAGATTTTTGAGTTTCCACACATATTTGGAAGCATGAAAAAGACAAGAACCAAGGTTTTATATTCTTAATTACATTTTGATAGGGTTAAAGAAGGCCGTGTATTTCAGTAGGCAAAGGTTACATTAAAAAACTGTTTATAATTTGACTGCACCTGATTTAACTGCATGTTAATATTTTATCTTGATTTTCTGCTACATCCTTGTTCCGTCTGTGGGGTTTAATTGCATAATGCACCCTGGAGTTCAGCCACTCATGCATTGTTTTATTTGCAATCAACATAGGATCTGTTAATAGTTTCAAGTGTTCACTTGGAGGCGTCAGATTTCCTCCCTCTGCAATGTTTTCTGCGTTTTCTTGATGAGGTCATACTCGTGCTCAGAGGGGTGGCCAGACAATTTTTATAAGGGTAGCCAGGCAATAACCCGAAAGTTGATAGACACCAGAACCTCAAGGTCAATCTGCAATAGGAAAATTAATGAGCACAACATCCATATTCTGTAAATGAAGACAAACTATACTTTCCTACAACCTTTGCTGACAAATAGATGCATAAATATTTAAACATCTGTGCTTTCTAGATAAAAGCTATAGTGGATACAATTGTTTAAGGTTTGAGTTCTGGGGCAAACATCTCTTCCGTTGCCATTATTTACCTACTTTTATCAGTAATCATTCTGCATAAAATTGATATTTACAAGTACGGATATCAACATAAATTGATTATTTAATACATCTTATTTAAATAGTTATTTATGAATAATTTTACTGAAGACTCTTAGATGACCCGCAGACACATAATTTACCCCATAAAACAGAAAATCTACTTTTGAAAAGAGCTTGAATTCTGTACTTATTATCTTATATGTTAGCATACTTATGCGCATAATTAACCACAGTGTTTTTGTTGTCAAGTAATTGTTAATATATGAAAAATTAAAATGTTTTGAACATTCCCCTTCAGAGTATTACTGCTGCCACTATCTGTATTAGAGGGAAAAAATAGTAGGGGTGGCCAATGATTGGCTA